CCACAAATGCATACACTCAGGAAACAAATGGCAGATTCAAGACCTAATTTTAAATATGCTACATGATAATCAATTTTTAAAGTTATGCTCCAAAAATACTCCTTAAAAAAACAAACGGTACAATCATCATTATGAAAATCATATTCATAACAAATGTATTGCTTGACCATTTTTCCCAGTTGGTATTGATTTCCTTATTGATTGCTACTTTCAAAATTGGAGGAAGCAATAATAAAGGATACTGGTGTTAGAAATTTCTTGTTCTAAGGCCACCCTGTAAGAATTAATAGAATCCAGGCTTACCCAAATAAGGAAAAACTGAATTGGTATTTTTTTAGCATGTAGTAAATAATACATGCATTAAAAATGCATGCATTACTTGCATGGTTTACTGTATCATTCTTCCTTTCCCCTTTTCTCCTGCCTCTTTGTGGATTCTTAACAAACCATGATGTGTGTTATGATCCCATTAACATCTTCTAGACATTTTAAAACTAAACTTACACTCTTCTCTGGGTGGTCCCACCCTGTAAATGGCTTCAGCTCTTCAGTGTTCAGTGGGTCATGGGTAGTCCCTTAGTGTTGGCCTACATGAGTTACTTTTTCTCACTTACTGTTACTTCTCAAAAAAATATATTGGGCCCTCTGGATGGTTTCTCTAGAGTACCTCCAGATATTTGTTGGAAGGTATCTTTTCCTTTCCTCTAGACATTTAATAACTTTACAGACAGGAAATATATGTAGATTTTCCCCCCTCACTCCCTGATTTACTCTGTAGTTTGAATTATAAGTATTTTCATATATTAAGACATTTTATTATTTATCGCATATTGCAGCTTTAAGACCTTTGTATGCTTTTACTCCCGCAGGAATTTAAATGCGAACTCATTTCCTCTATGCACTCAATATACATTCCAAGTTTCATAGCATATTTTCTAATTTCATTTAAAAATGAAATGCTGATATTACATTCCATAGCAGAATAAAGGACAATTGTTTCCACAGGAAAATATGATATGAAAACACATCTGCCACAAAATTGTGCATCCTTTGGCATATGATTTCTAGAAAAATTTATGTAAAATGCTGATGAATGAAATCAACACCGAAAAGTATAGCCACTTATTTTTTAAATGTCTACGAATCCCATGTCAGTAAACCATATACAGAGTCGGAAAAATAAGCTGTTGTGAAAAACCACAATACATGGATATTAATTCCTTGTCATACATATGCGTCGTTTATTCAACCATATCTTTAGTAATTGACTACATTGTTCAGCTACCTTTCATTAACAATGCAGCAAGCATGCTTCTTAATAGAGTTGTTTCTGATTGTTTTCTCCTCATTCAATTTCATCCTTTTTACCTACTGTTTAAAATCCCTACATTGAGTACTCACCCACAAGGAAAAGCAAAGAAATAGAAGATTTGGAACGAAATGTACCTACTCATTGCTTTGTGCATTGAAATGTGGATTTTCCTGCATAATCACTAAAGAGCTTACAATTCATTCAAAGATTTTTATTTTTGTCACTAAGCTGTTGAGTAACTAGTTTGAATGTTCTTTTTCACTAGCTTCCACTAAATCATTGGGGAAGCCATAGACTCTGGTGTTTGAGACCAGTAGCTTTAAAGGGAGACATATATAAATTTGTATTTTTCTGACCACTTCTTGGGTGGTGAAGATGATACTGAACCTCTCTGAACTTCACTTATATCACCTCCAAGTTGGAAATTTAAGTTATGATGGAACAAATGAGATCTATATGAAAAACACTTGGCACATGGTATGACCTCAATACATTTTGCAGGTAGATGCTATTATTGCTATTAGGTCAATGGTCATGGTAACAGAGCTTTATCCATAATATATTCTTACTATCTTGTAAAGTCTGTTGCCAATGATCATTACCCAGAACCAAGGCTTTGGAAATAAAGTGACTCTAAAATAATAATATGTGCAGGACTATTGCTGACAAAGGCCTGGCCATGAGTACACAAGCTTCAAAAAATACCCATTCACACCCATAGTTCTTTGATTTGTACAGTTACCACACTGCTAGTAATTAGGATCTGGATGGATAGTTGTATCTGAAAAGACCAGTTTTGGACATGGAATTTTTCCTTAAATGTGTGCATAAATATAGTGTCCTTTGTTTATCAGTAGCCATAGCTCTCTAGAATTCTCTCTAGAATTAATTTACTATTGGGAACACTCTTATAAATAGAATGATTGGATTATGACCTGCCACTGTATAACAACATTCTTTGGTGGACAGAACAAATACATTGAACACCAGATTTGTAGCACAATCTTTGTGTTTGGCCTTGTGCTTTTCAAGTACTATCTCATTTAATCTTTGCCCATGACTCTTACTTTAAAACAAAGCACATTTATTTGCATTTATTTATGAGAAAATGAAGACTTGCCGAAGGTCAGTTACACAGCTAATACATGGCAGAGTTGATTTCAAAATCAAATCTGTCCAAATGCAGTCTTTTTACTCACTATGTAAGTAGGGTTTGCCATCTGGAATTTGTATCAACTAACTACTAAGAAATATGTCCAAATATTTTCTCAAATACCAGATTAGTTTGATATATTCTGACTGCCCGAACCTTGTAGAACTGCATGAATTCATAAACTGAAAAGGAAGAAACAGGAATCCAGTTTTTCAAGCTCATTAAGGACAATTAAAAATCATTTAAGCACATTACATGTGCTTCTCATTTTTTCCCCATTTCTAAATGCCCCTCCTCTAATCAGAACCATGGTGGACTTTGCCTAGATAAGACTTGACCTCTATTACCTATTAGCCCTTAATTTTTTATGCAACTCTGGTATTGCGATGGGATGTTTGTATAAAAACTTAGATGACGTATTCTAAGAACCTGTATGCAGAAGTGACAATTCAGAATGATTCACTGTCACTTTTAGGGATGATGGTTTATAATATTAAACCATTTTCCATAATAAAGTTTTTTAAATGTCTCGTTTAATCTTTTTTTTTTTTAATTTTTTTTTTAAACGTTTATTTATTTTTGGGACAGAGAGAGACAGAGCATGAACGGGGGAGGGGCAGAGAGAGAGGGAGACACAGAATGGGAAACAGGCTCCAGGCTCTGAGCCATCAGCCCAGAGCCTGACGCGGGGCTCGAACTCACGGACCGCGAGATCGTGACCTGGCTGAAGTCGGACGCTTAACCGACTGCGCCACCCAGGCGCCCCACGTTTAATCTTTTTTGAAGGCTTCTCCGACCATTTCCTTGGAAGAAAATATCATGTCTTAGCCTTACGTGATGCTCATTGGATTAAAAGAATTTTATTACAACAGAAATGTTATTAAAGTTAGAGGATTTTTGTGTATTGTACTCAGTATGTCCTCCAGGTGTCCTGGTTCACACCTCAGCTCTGTCAGTCTTTGGCTTCCTATGATTAGGTGTTATCTGTCAGTCCTGCCCACTATACTCTCGGGTCCCTACAAGGCAGGCGCTGTGTTCTCACAGTGCCTATATCAAAGTCTGACAACCAAGTGATGTTTAATGACATTTTTATAAGTACTTAGTTGAAGAAAATAATGTATGCTTTTAAAATTTCCATAATTCCAGAAGTTGGTAACGAAGATATGTATGTGTCTAAATTTTCTTTGATATCCTGACCTCTCCTTAAAGTCAAACCTAGTTATAGAAGCATCCCGTTTGGGTTTTTTTGTTTTTTTGGTTTTTTTTTTTTTTTTTTTTTTTTTTTTTTGACTGCAGGAAGTCTGTCCACTTTATCCCCCTAGCTTCATAACTTACTCATGTAACCTTTAACAAACCTCATGGTGCCTCTCTTTTCTAGACTATAAAATGGAGACATTAATGGTAATTAATCCATATAATTGTTGTTAGAATCACTTCAGATAATCATCATGAAATACTTGCCAAAATGGCCAGCATGTAGGAAATAGTCAATAAATATTACTGATCTCCAGTGTGCACAGCTTGCCGCCCTGCAGAACATACTTGTTTTGGAATAATCTTCAAATCCAATAAGAGCTTGTGAAATCAAATGTTTTAGACAACAAAAAATGAAATGGCACTTAAAATACTTCTTGTTGAGAGGGTTTACATTTGGGAGGACAGGAAAAAATATTTTTTTAAACAGTAATATGTCTGTCACTTTATTAGACATATTTTTTACATTAACTCATTTTTATTGGCAACTGCTTGTTCGCTGACTCAAACTGTGATCTTTGGGTTTGTAATGTCTTATCTTTCTAACTATACCTGACCTCCTTGACAGAAGGGAGCTTTTTTTTTTTTTTTTTCAAAACAGAATCTTGGACAGTACTTTATAAATATTTAAAAATATACACGTACTTTGAAACAATTATGTATATGTGCATATGTCTATTTGTACATTGTATATGATGTGTGTGCATATCCAGAGAGAGTCCTATTCTAGTTACATATGTAGAGGGACATGTATAATTGCATATAATAGAATGGTTTGTGAAGTGAATAGGATTGAGTATCAGATATTATGAATGTCATTCCTGATAATATTTAATTACAAAAAGATGTTGGGGAAGTCACTTAACTTCATTAAACCTTGGTTTCTTCATTTAGATGTGCACCATCTAATAGGATTTTCTGCATTGATTTGAATGTTCTATTTCTCTGCTGTCCAATATGGTAACCACTAGCTAGCTACATGTGGCTGTTGAACTCAAAATGTAGCTAGTGTGGCTGAGAAACTGAATTATACATTTTATTTAATTTTATATGTTTTAAATATAAATAGACACATGTAACAGGTAGCTCCATTACAGTATACAGAATCAAGGATGACAGGACAATATCATGTGAAAAGAAGCTACACTGAATTTCCTTGATATGGGTGATACAATTACTGTTTCTCAGCAGAAGACTGTCCTCTTTTGAAATACTTAAATTCTCTCATATTATCTTAGGCCTTTACAATTTAAACTCTTTTTCCTTTATCTTTCTTAACAGATCTTGAAAACTTTAAAACAAGAACAAGAAGCACTGTGTCTGTCCGACAAGGTCAGGGGATGGTACTCCTATGTGGCCCACCAGCCCATTCAGGAGGTAAACTATAAGTGCACTGAAATGTGCACACTTTTCACTTCACTTGCTGCTATTTTGTTGTTGTTGTTGCTTTTTCTCCCCTTGGCACTAGCTAAAGGAAAAGTGTCATTTGCAGAGATTCTCTGTGTCAAGGAAGAATCATTGTCAGTGCCTCCCATAATTAAGATAGGAAAATACCAGATTCTGCAAATGTTCCAACCCAGTGCTATTTAGCTGGCACAAGGGGAAACACACCTGAGTCAATTGAAATAAGAATCCTGTTGCTTAGTAAGGCAATGTAGGTAAAACTACCCATGCTTTCTCCAACTCAATTGGTTTCAAAGATGGCCTTGCTTTATTTTGTCTCGTTTTTTTTGGCTAGGGAAAGGATCAGATCCAGAACCCAAGTCCTCTGACCACAGAATCCAAGGTCACTTTGTAAAGACTCATAATGTCTACATCAGTTAGGAATTCATTTGATGTGTTTTTAAGTTTATTTTTTTCAAGTTTTGTTTAATTTCCACCTAGTTAACATATAGTGTAATAATTAGTTTCAGGTGTAGAATTTAATGATTCATCACTTCCTTACAACACCCAGTGTTCATCCCAACAAGTGTCCTCCTTAAGTAAATAAGTAAAAAGTAAATAAGTAAAGATAAATAAGTAAATAAATAAAGAGTAGGGAATTTGTTTGACTGCAAATAACTGAAAACTCAGCTAACACAAACTTCAACAGGCTTTATGTTGTTCTTACACGCATTTCCAAAGGTATGTATTCTCAAGCTAGCACCACTTCCTGAGGATGTCTTCCAGGATGCAAGTCCTTTCTCGCATCCTTCTCTGAGGTCCTTAACAGGTGAATGGCAAGGGTAGCAAGTGTGCAGTCCAGACAGGCAGAAATGGGAATAGGCAAGAACAAAAGTCCCAAGTCTCCCTCTCGGTTTGCATTTGTATTATGAAAGGTTCGCTTTGCCGGAAGACTTTTACCTACATGTCACTGGTCAGCTACAGTGGCAAGAGAGATGGAAAAATCAAGTATTTTGTACAGATAAATTTGATGGCCCTGAAAAAAATCGTAATTTTGTAAATAGGGAGACTATGGAACTGCAGTTTCTGCTAAAAGGACCAACGATAACTGAAAGGCAAATCTGACTTCCCATAAGGGGCACAGCAGTGTGGAGGCTTAATATATAATGCTGTCTATTAGGATTCTTCTAAAGTTGTGGTAACAAGATTGATAAACTCTGTTCTTGGGAATTCTGGCTCAAAGTTGAATTTGCTATCTGATATCCTTGTTATTATCTTAATTTTCTCTTTGGCTTAACGCATGATGAAAAGACAAAAAAATTAAACTGAGAATTTGAAAACATCCTTCTATTTTTCTCCTGTGTTCTGAAGTTGTAACTTTTCATTTCTCATCTAATGCCCCAGCTAACCTTTGCAGCAGGAAGTAACAATTAGCAAGATAGCTGAAAAGACTCGTACTTCTAATATGATGGGTGTTAAAAGCACATGGAGGAGGCCTCCCTGAATCTAAACTGTGGACATGGAATTATTCAGGGTTCTGGGTTTTGAAGACTGGCAGAGAATCCAGGTTAAATTTCAGTAGTTTGTATTCTGAGAAATAGGTTTACTCCTTAGGACTTGAGTTTTCCCTTCAAATTAGCATCAGAATAATAAAATTTGGAGTTCTGACATGAGGTACAGCCCTAGCTCTGTTTCAAATCATTATTTGATATTGAGCAATTTTTTTTTTTAAATTTTTCATATCACACTGTTCTTATCTATAAAAAGATGAGATCAAAGGAAATCTTTCCGATCCCTTTTAGTTCTATCATTACATGGTAATAACTCAATAAGACTAAACATGTTTATTAACTAGGCTTGCATTATTGAAATCTGTCATTTATACAAAGAAATCAATTAACTGGACCTATATTTAGGTAAAGTGAAGTTCACTCAGACTGACTTTTCTCTTCTTACTATAAAATCTGACCAAGGGGTGCCTGGGTGGCTCAGTCGGTTAAGCGGCCGACTTCGGCTCAGGTCATGATCTCGCAGTCCATGAGTTCGAGCCCCGCGTCGGGCTCTGTGCTGACAGCTCAGAGCCTGGAGCCTGTTTCGGATTCTGTGTCTCCCTCTCTCTGACCCTCCCCCGTTCATGCTCTGTCTCTCTCTGTCTCAAAAATAAATAAACATAAAAAAATTTTTTTAAATAAAATCTGATCAAAATAAGAATGGAAGGTTTTGCTAATTTCTTCTGCAGTCTACGTTCACAACACTAAACTTTCATAACATGGCAGCAATTCCAAAAATTAATCTTGTAGGCTTATTAAGAAAAACAGTACCCCACTCCTCCCTGGCATAATGGTATCTTTGGGAAAGCCAAAGCACCTGAAGTGTTGCTGTGCTGCTACACAATGAGACACCTGAATACTTTCCCCTTCCCACAGAGAAATATATTAAAAATGTTCATAGACATCCCCTGAAATGTGCTTGTCTCTGCTGGCAGCAGTCAGCAGCTCTGAAATCCGGTTTTTTGAGCTGTGCTGACATTCCTGACAGTCTTGATGGTGAAAGACAAGGAAATAAATATTCTCATTATGGGCTTTATTAGAAACTGCGTGCTCAGTAACACTGTGGGCAAGGCAGGCAAGACAGGGAAATTTGCAAGAACGCAAAGAAGATCTTGAAAGTTGTAAGGGAGCATCTCAGACAGCCATCAGTTTGGGGCAGTGGAGTCACTGATGATCTGATGAAATACCCCCAGTTGTCAAAGCCCTCCAGTGCAAACTGTATAGCAGGGGTTCTCTTGTTGCTTCTCCAGACAGTGTTTTACCTGAAAGCTGGCAGAATCACCATGAGCCACTGGATATACCGAGCATTTTAGACCCAGCATATGGTATCCCAGTTTAATTTGTAACAGATCATGAAGAGGGAAGGAAATGAGTCAGCCTTTTATTGTATCAATGGGATACTGAGTAATGGCATGAAATCCATTGTAAAGGATGCTGCATGTCCTGTTTCAAAAGCTGTGAGGTGTCAGACTTTCTTAGGGTAACATAGAAATGAGCAACAATTAATCTATTTTGAAAAGCATTTCAGACAGCAGGTATTTCCAGGACTCTATCAATCACTTCATGTACCATCTTTGTTGTCTTTTGGTTAATAGAACAAATTCAGTTATGATGTCATTCCATAGATTCTACTATTCAGTTGTAGCACAAACACCAAACTGTGGAAATCACTGTGATGGACTCTGGTTGTCCGTGATGTCCCTTCATATTAGAAATAGAGTTTATTGAGATCCAGAATTTTCACCTGGCTTTCCATCACCTCCAAGGTCATTTGGCACCAGGAATTCAGGATTCTTAACCATGTTCTCATTAAGTAGGAATATGACTGAGGTACTTTGAGATTCTTCCTACCAGCGTACTAAAATTGTATTATTCATCAGTGAATTCCTCCTGAACTGTTCAGGGAGGTTTTTGTTCTCACCTTCCTTTTTGTATGTGTCACCAAGATCCTTGCTACTCAAAATGTGGTCCATGCACCAGCACCATCTGCCTTACCTGGAAGCTTGTCAGAAAGACCATTTCAGGTTCCACCCATGGCCTACTGAATCAGAATTCACATTTTAATAAGATCTCCAAATGATTCATATGCACATTAAAGTTTGAGAAGCCCCAAGCTATTCTCTCACACACACCTCACTTCTGGCCACTGGTGGGCAGGAAGCTGAGGCATAATCAAGGCAACATGTTAAAGTCATGGGTGCCCAACCATTTCCCAAAGATATTTTGATTCCACAAATCTGGGGCAGGATTCCCAAAACTATTGTTTTAGAGACTCTGAGGCAGCACCACATTTAAGATCCACCCACGTTGATCACCTTCTACAAAGCCAGCCCAGAATCACACTACTGAGATGGAGTGCTTTGATTTCCACATCACCCAAACAGAAGGGTTGAGTACTTTTTATGTCAAATTCATATTTAAAAGAATTTAAAATAAAATATAATCACCTCAGGCTTTACCTTCATTTATTTTTGTGGATGTTGATAAAGGAGATGAACAATCAAGAAAAGACTGGCTTTTTCTCAAGTGTGTGTGTATCTTCAAAAGTAGCATTTTACATTTGGCCAGCTTTTTACTACATTACTGTTAGTGAAAGTATGGCTTCCTAGAGTATTAAAAATAAGCCACGTGATTCTGATTCTAAGATTATTTTCATTGTTACGGGTTTTTTAGAAACCAGCTATAATTGTCATCATTAGATGATTTTACACAGAACACATTTCCATTAAATTTGGATTCTGTTCACATGGCATGAGATGCAGGGACCTTACAACAGAGCATCTGTGGAGTTCTTTATGGTGTTTATAATGCTTTAGTTGCCATTATATTATCTCTGATCCTTACAATAATCCTATAGGAAGTAAGGACATGTATTTCATAGATAAGGAAATTGAAGCAAAGAGATTATGTGGGGTCACACACTAATCAATGGCAGGGTCAAGAGTTATCTTTGCCTAGAATGTGACCTTTTTTTTTTTTTTCCAGTCCAGGAGACAACACTGGAAACAGGTACTGGATTCTCTATGCTGGTGATTCTCTGGGCCCTGTCCCAGATCAATTAAGTGTGCCTTTCTTGAGAGGGGTCCTCTGGCATCCTTTATATTTTTAAAAGCACTATACATGATTCTAATCTGCCGTCAGGGTGCAAAATGTGTATCTCTGCATTACAAAATCAAGTAGATGTTGTCTCAGCAAAACCTCTCTATTTGCAAACCTCTCCAGGGTCCAGGAAATTTGATTTGATCTGGACATATCCACGAATATTATAACCCTGAAAGAAGTGTGCCTTCCAACAGCGTAGTTATTTCAGCTGGATCATTTTGTTTTTACTGTAGGACAGAGGAAAAAGCAGGAAACTGGGACACCAAATTCCAGGCCCAGATCTCATATTAACTTACTATGTGGTCTTGGGCCAATTACATAACTTTTCTGAGTCCTTTTGGT